GGTGTAGTTGGCGTGGCTGCAGCAGTGCCGCTGATGTTGATCCCTTGTTCACCGACCATCGTCTTCATTTTGTTGAATATTGATGTCGGCTTAGGCTGGAAACCAGATTGAAGACATAGCCACGGGGGATAGCTTATTTGATTGTTTTCTCCTCACCGCCATACTAAGAAGAGCTCCGATAGGGTTGCCTTCGTCGTATCGAGCAAGTTTGCCCAGAACGAACTCCAGTACCCCAATCAGTCGGTCTTGGATACACGTCTCCATGTCCGAGAGCATCGTGTCCAATGTCTCGTCCAATTTGGACTGATATTTGAACTGGAAGTTTGCTTCTCAATTTGCTATACAAATAAGATGTTCCTCCAAGAACGGTCAAGAAATCTCCACACCAAAGCTCAATTCACAAAAAAAAACTCGTGCTTCAAGAGTGACTGAAAATTTTTCAACCAAAGATTCACATGGAAAATTGATTTGAACCCATTAAAGGCAAACCCCGGGATTAGCCCGACTTGTGGGAAGGATACCGCGAGGGAAATTGTAAGGTCCCTACCTACCTAGATCACTCCAGCTTCGCCGCAAAAGTTGCGCGGTTAGGGCGCTAATCCTTACGGGCCTGCAACCATCGACCCCCGTTGCAACGCTTCCCACCCACCTCGATATCGGCGTGCTCTCTCGAACGGCGTGATCTCTCGCGTGTTTTGTCTTCTTTGACCGCCCATCCCTAACCGGGTCTTGCCCGATGTTAGAACACGTGAAGTTTCAGTGGCAGTGGCCCTTATCAACGGAGTGATAAGGCGCCGAAATCCACTTCCGTTCAGCAAAAACCAAGACTTATCGATGTGGAAAGGGGTGCGATAAGAGCGTGCTAGATATGATACCGTTATCGTTATCGTCCCGTTTTCATTCTGGAGTGCACCTCTTATCAAGCAGCCGCACCTTCTTATCTCATCGTATCATATCTTCCATGGGCTTACACTCGTCCAACAATTACTGCCTCACACCTTATCGATTGATAACGCGAGGGTAGCAAATCCAGCGTGGAAGCCAGCGTGATTTATCCTACGAAGCGCTCTTATCACCAGCTTCATTCCGGGCTTGCCTTCAATGCCAATGACAACGTTAGATTGGGAGGGCCCGACGTTCAAGAAAAAGCACCAGATCCTGTCGCGCTCAAGGCAATGAATACTATTTCTAGAAGCGGTGCGATTTCGATGACGTCGTTGGACGTTCCCGTTGAACCAGACTCTTTAGAGCGATAACGGTTCGGTTGAGACTCTCCTAGCGTTCGTCCACCAAAAACACGCAATGACGTCAATATAACTACTGAAACCTCCATTCCTCGTGTTCAATGGCTTCGCCCACCAAGAGTTTCCCTCCCTTTTCGTAGCATGAAATTCACAAGAAAAATACAAAAGTGGCCCTGAACTACATTCAGGTGCCAGTGAGGCCGGTGCCCCAACTATTTGTGATAAGGGTTCTAGGAACAGAATAACGGGATACCTCTCCAGCATCCACGGACATCCTTGTTGCTCTGGTTTTAGAGCTGAATATGACGTTAATCATGACGCATACTTCAGATGGTAAGATGTAAGTCGGTGGACTTTCGAGCACGCTGCATCCACGAATCGAATTGTTGGTACGTGCTGAAATGTAGTTAGTGCAATTATATATTTAACCAGCTGAAATAGAGTATGTAAGTCAAGTTTAAGACATAGGTCAAGAGCGTAATGGCTGGAGGCGCCATGTCATGCTCCTGCAGATATGGACCTCCTCCCATTGGGCCGACACATCCGTTATCTCCACTCGCAAGATCACTTAATAGGCGCAGACAATTGTTGGGAATCCTGGTCTGCTCGCCTCTGCTTGACTGATTACTTACCCTTCATCCCATTGTTTAACACATTGACGACAGCGCGCGTTTTGGCTTTTTGGCCACGTGGGACAGGACGATTTGCGAGCGCGGCCGCCGCACCTAGCAATCGTAAATATTGAATGATAACTTCTGGAAAGCATCACTGGTACAAAACCATTTCAGCAATATTCAATGCGTAGAAGGTAATCGAGTATATAGTGACGAAATCCGATTAAAGAACATGTAATGGTAATGAAAAGGGAACCTTCAGTCCTTTTCTCTGTAGTGGATACCAAAGCTACTGCCAATTCCGCTGTGCTTAAAAACTTCTGCTAAACTGGAGCATATTTGATCATACCGTGACCCATGTCGTTTACAGTTATGTTATGTTGTAATCCATAGAATAGAGACAAGCAAATTGGGAAGAATCCCGCATACGCTAGAAAAAGGGATGACAAGGGTGAGACGCGTAACCGCGTCTCAATGTCCAACGAGGTGCGCAAAGTGAGACGCGTTACCGCGTCTCAATGTCGTCAATGTGTTAATGGCAGGGGTCGTGATCGAAATGATATGTTAAGTGTTTGAAAGTGAGTCAAGAAATGTAAAGAGGAGCCTGAGCGGAAAAAAGGGCAAAAGTGACAATCAAAAACAATGAATTTTGCTTCGGGAGGTCGACTTTGGTTTGTTGAATATCAATACTCTCTCACTGACCTGCTTGCCACTTTTGAGATCATGTCCGACGTCAAGCTCTTCATTCTCACAGTCAAATATTTACGGAATTCCTCTTCAGGCCAGTTCAAATCCACGATGAAAGTGTGGAGAGCGTCCAACTTCCAATAGATGTCCTCAGAAGTGGCACAACCCTCTCTGAAAACTCACAAATGAAGGAAAACGCCAAATCAGCTACGGTAACAATTTGTAATCGCATAATTTATCAACTTCATAGAAGCCTTAGTAAACGTGGCGACTTACTTCCTAGGCTCCCATTTTTCCTTAGAGAATCCCTTATCGATTGATTGTGATATGGAGTGTTCCATCAGGTCCGTATAACGAACCACCAACGGTTGAAATTGACTGGTGATCTTTTTATGGAAAATCCCTCCATTCAGCGATTCTGAAAGAAATTGTGCTATCAGATCGCTTCCCAATAAACATCGCACATTGGAAATTATTTGGCAATTGTCCAATTTGTTTCAATTTTAATATCTCACTTTCACTGAGCAAGAAATCGTTGAGCGTTTGGAAGAGTGGAAAAGAATCCCACGAATCCGGCGGTTGAACTTCCATGGCCGAGTCGAGGTCGACTGAGTACAATG